CATTTCAGCACATTCTGTCTGATTGGAGAATCTTGTTTTAACACAGTAAGAATGTGTCAGATTAAGATAAAGACCACTCCATTCAAGCCATTTTTACCTCATATTTGATCAGTGTAAGAAGCTGGATGACTGATCTCGGATAGTGACTGTCCGTAGAGCCTCCTGCAGGCTGTTGGTGCAGGATTCAGCTTTGGAGGAGGCCAGTTACAAGATATCTCCTGGTATCTATGATAAAAGTCACATTAAAGCTCAGTCTGGTGCACACTGGGGTAGTTTTTCCAATGTGGTTTTCCTGCAAATGGCAAATAAATTCTTGATTCTTGAGTTTAGAGCTGACTTCTCTGTGGTCTTATTATTCTCTCTTAAAGGTGTCGAAGTCGTGACTGTTCAAAATGACATATGCACAATGTAGTAGTTTATTTCAGTCAGTTACAGAATGCATTTCAACAGAAGAAGCAGTAGCATTAATTCAGATCCCAATGGACAATTTCTATGCACAATGTCGGTCCATAGAAAGTCCACCTTCACACATGAATTCAAAAGAAAGAATTTTGACATTTCTTCTAAAAATCTGCTTCTTTCCCATTGAGTTGCCTTGACACCTGCCCCTAGCTGAACTATAAATATACCACTGATGTTTGGAGGTTGATTCTAGTTTGTGAAAGGCACCTTTGTCTTGGATTGGAACGGATGTAGAATTGAAAACAGCAAAGAGACGAGTCACAGTCAGTCCGGGTCATTAATCTCTGTGAGCCTGAAGTTTATCTGGAGCAGCTGCGGGGGGCCTGTCTCCTACACATTCTTTGACGTCAGCCACTCGATAAGAAAAATACACAAGAGTCATTGACCCTCCCCCACGGCGACTATCAAACCATATTAAACAGAGACAGAGGAAGGACAGGACGGGGGCAGAGGAGAGGACAGAGACAGGGGCAGAGGCAGGGCACAGAGGACAGAGGCAGGACAGGACAGGGGCAGAGGCAGGACAGGACAGGACAGGGGCAGAGGCAGGGCACAGAGGACAGAGGCAGGACAGGACAGGACAGGGGCAGAGGCAGGGCAGAGAGGACAGAGGCAGGACAGGACAGGGGCAGAGGCAGGACAGGACAGGACAGGACAGGGGCAGAGGACAGAGAGGGGCAGAGGACAGAGGCAGGACAGGACAGAGAGGGGCAGAGGCAGGGCACAGAGGCAGGACAGGACAGGGGCAGAGGACAGAGACAGGGCAGGACAGGGGCAGAGGACAGAGACAGGGCAGGTGTGGTGGCGGTGACAGAGGTGAATGAAACGTGCTGAGTAACAGGTTCTCCTGGTCGTCCGGTTACTCAGAGTTACTTGGAACAAGAAGTCATGCTGATGTATTTTTAAAGGAAATAGAATACAAAACTTGTACTTTACTTCTGATAGCAGCGCGTGGGGGTGCAGAGTGTGTGTGTGTGAAATAATTCATAGTGATGTATCGGTTTTATCATCTGCAATTTTCTAGATGCTCAACTACGCTACGCATGTGAATTATTCCTTCTCTCCAAACACGGTGGTGATAAACTACTACTGTAGCCACAGCTGCCCTGGGGCACACTGACAGAAGCGAGGCAACCAGTCTGTGCCATCAGCCCCTCCCACCACCACCAACCATTCACACACACACCGGACAGACGCACAGGGACAGACTCACAGGTACACTCGCTCACTACTGTAGATGTTGTTTACATGAGGCGCCGTTCGTCTGAGGTCTCTTTCCAAACTGAGCTCTGGACAAATGTAAAAATAAACCACATATTTTCACAAGGATTTCCGGTCTCCCTCTGGTCTCCCTCTGGTCTCTCTCTGGTCTCTCTCTGGTCTCCCTCTGGTCTCCCTCTGGTCTCCCTCTGGTCTCCCTCTGGTCTCCCTCTGGTCTCTCTCTGGTCTCTCTCTGGTCTCCCTCTGGTCTCTCTCTGGTCTCTCTCTGGTCTCTCTCTCGTCTCTAATTCTCTTCATTCTGTCTTTATCTGGTCTCTGTCACTTCTATCTCACACAGACTGGTTGCCTTGCTTCAGTGTGCCCCAGGGCAGCCGTGGCTACTGTAGCTGTTTATCACGACTGTGTTTGGAGTGAAAGAATAATGTCATAGAAAAGCATTGTATAAAGCCAATGCTGCAATATTAAATTATTATTGCTGCAAATGGGAAATAATCTGAATCTGAGTAATCGTGGGAGTCTAAGTGTTGAGATAAGTGTTTTATTATCACACATTTATGTCCCTCTGATGCCGTGAGTCTGTGGTGATGACTCCACAGTGACTCGCTCCATAAACTAGACCAGAGGTGAAGATCCAGGACTTCAGAGGTGAGGATCCTGGCCCACAGAGGTCAGGATCCTGGACTTTGGTCTCAGTCCAGTCCAGTGGTTGATGCGTCATGTTCTCTTCAGCGTCTCAGTCTTTTGAAACAGTCATGGACCACAGCAGTATTAATAGAAAAGTCAGAGCGAGAGCTGCAGTCCATGTTTGGTGTTGTTCAGTATCGCTCACTCACAAATACATCCTCCAAAAATAAGAACAAGCTGAAGAGGGAAACAGCAGATGTAGCTCTGTGTTATTTAGCATTTGTGGCTAATTATTGTTTAAACACAAGGCAGTAAAACGCTAAATAATCACAGTTCATTCAAAAGAGTGAAGCTACAATCCCTCCGTTTTACGCACAGTGAAACAGAACTGTTTTTAATCTGGATTTGAACATTGTCAGAGAAGAAGCCTGTCTCATATTTTCAGGAAGACTGTTCAGATTGCCAGGACAGTCTACATGAATCTGAAACGCTGCCTCCCCATGTTTAGTCCGGACTCTGGGACCAGCATGAGGCCAGTCCCTGTGCTCCTCCTAGTCCCAGCAGGAGGCCAGTCCCTGTGCTCCTCCTAGTCCCAGCACGACGCCAGTCCCTGTGCTCCTCCTAGTCCCAGCAGGAGGCCAGTCCCTGTGCTCCTCCTAGTCCCAGCAGGAGGCCAGTCCCTGTGCTCCTCCTAGTCCCAGCAGCAGGCCAGTCCCTGTGCTCCTCAGAGTTGGTTCATGGCGTATATGCGTATAACAAGAGTTTTATATGTAACTCAGTGTGTCTTGTCTTGCTATTTTTAATCTTTCTGTCTGTGTGTGTGTGTGTGTGTGTGTGTCTGTGTGTGCGTCTATGTGTGTGTTTGTGTGTGTTTGAGTGCTTTGTGATGTTGGTGCCCCCAATGTCTCCTGCTTATATTCCAATGTCGTTTTTTTTCCTGCTAATGTCAATGCATGGATTCTGATTCTGAACACCTTTTCACAAAGAAGGGAATCCTGGTTTTATTTCTTCATTTATTCTAATCATAACAAGAGCTTTTTTAGTTCTGCGGTCTTTCAGATTTCAGACTTTCTGATTGGTGAAACGGTGGAGGGAGCGGGACATCGAAATGAAAACAATAACAAGATTTAAGGGCTGTAGAACTCATATTGAAATTCTCTGAACTACTGTTGTCAGTTTAAGAAGTGGTGGAAAAGAACATGTTGTTTTCTTGTGACGGATTAGGGCCCTTTAATGATGACTTGACATTGAATCTTACATATTGCTACTTTAAAGTCTATTCTCTGAGCCACAGACATGACTGTACTGGTGGAGCTGAAGTTGGCTGCATGACACTGTGAAAGAACCTCAGTGTCTTCAGCAGCAGAGGGAAACATTAATGACACAGCGGGCCACATTTGAACACAATAGTAATTAAGTGTAAATCACATACTTCTGACTTAAGTACTATTTTGGCAGCAGCACAATAACATATTTTCACCGTGATTGAGAAGCACTCGGAGTCGTACTTTCGGGTCTGTTTGGATATATTTATTCTGTTGATTCACCTGGAATTGTGCAGCTGTCAGAGTCGTGAAGTGAGCTGTGGCAGAGTGGACTGAACTTTAGACCAGCCGGCCCTACTTGGCTCTGGTCCTAGATCAAAACAGCAGTCGCCTCAGAGGACTTTACACACAACAGAGAATCAACACACAGTTCGAACCAGCGGGGGCGGGTTTCGGATCAAAAATGTCCGAAATGACGTGCGCTGACATGCTGCAATACCACCCCGGGCCAGTGGGGGTGGACCCGGAATAAGAATTGGCCAATGCTAATGTGTAGCATCTTCTTACCTCTTGAAAACGTCTTTACAGGATGGTCCAAAAGTGGCTCTTGGCCCAAAGCTCTGTTCCACATGTGTGTCAATGTTGAGGGGGGTGTTCTGGACCAGTCTGGTTTAGTCGCTGTGGACTTTTGAAGGCACTAGTCAAATGAATGCCCCTGCAGCCATTTTGAAAAGCCCCACGGAAGGCAAAAGTGATGTCACATTAGTTTGAACGGCAGGGATAGGCGTCACTACGTTAATATTTACAGTCTATGTTTCGAACACAAGAAATGCAATAATAACAAACAAATAGGAGACATAGGTCCATAGGGAGAAAGCTAGATCCAGGACTGAGACTGTAGACCCAGGACTGAGGCTGTAGACCCAGGACTGAGGCTGTAGACCCAGAACTGAGACTGTAGACCCAGGACTGAGGCTGTAGACCCAGGACTGAGACTGTAGACCCAGGACTGAGGCTGTAGATCCAGGACTGAGGCTGTAGACCCAGGACTGAGGCTGTAGACCCAGGACTGAGGCTGTGGATCCAGGACTGAGGCTGTGGATCCAGGACTGAGGCTGTAGACCCAGGACTGAGGCTGTAGACCCAGGACTGAGGCTGTAGATCCAGGACCAAAGAAGCCTTTATTAAGACAAAAGCATCATGTTTTGGGTTGATTTCTCCAGATAAAGTCATTCTTAGTTTTAAAAAAGTACAACATTTGAGATTTGTGTCAACTTTGATCCGTCCCGACTGTAACAGAGACAGAACATTTACTTGTCCTCTCCTCACTGAGCATAATCTGAATCCCTGGTCTCTTTTGTGACGTCACCGCCGCGGGTACACTGTGTTCTCTCCTCTAGGACGCTGACCCCACCGCGCCGGGGCATCATGGGTAATCTTTGTTTGGGATCTATTCACGGAGAGAAACAAGAGAAGCTTTCTATCAGAGGGCGTGATGTTCCAGGCCCTATTCCTGATGTTGGTACAGACGGGAAGGAAGTGGCAGTACACCCAGTCCAAGAATAATTTAGAGAGTGTGTGTGTGTTCCTGTGTGTGCGTGTGTGTGTGTGTGTGAGTGTTTGTGTGTGTGTCTGTTTGTGTGCGCCTGTGTGTGCGTGATATATTAAGCCACATCTCAAAGAAGTGTTTTTGGCAGATTTCCACGCTTGTAGCTTGTTGTGTGTGCGATTTATGCAGCGAAAGTGGTCTCTTTCTTGTTTTTCTCTGGTCTTTCTCTATTTTTGCCAAGTTTGGGTTGAGATTATTGGATTCCTGGCGTATTTGAATTTTCACAATTTTCTATTTTCACCTACTTTCACCTCCAAACCTGACACGCTCCATGTGTGTATGTAGACAATGTTAAATCTGGATGGTGCTAAATGTTTCTGGATTTGGAACTGGATCGATAGGAGCAGATTGTGGTCATCGCAACAATTGAGTCCCAGCCAAACTCTACTCAAATCTATAAGCCGTCAATTAGACTGCTCTGGGGGCTCTGGTGTTGGCCACAGTAAACACTAACTTCCATCTCAGTTTAACCTGCAGCAGTCAGACTCCTGGTGAGACACACACATGGACACGACCCACACACACTCACACACATGGACGTGACACACACACACACACACACACACACACATGGACAACACAGAAGTAGGTCACGCATGTTCCTTTTTACAGTCTGTTCTGTTCAAACACTGCTCCATCAAAACTACTTTTTCCATCAGGGTGTGTGTCTGTGTGTGTGTGTGTGTCTGTGTGTGTGTGTTTGCTTTTACCTTGACAGGCCTGGACACGTATGACCCCAGTGCCACCGTGGTCATATGCTATGTTTAGAAGAATCAGCAGGTGCATTGTGGGTCAACTGGTCCCTCTTTCTGGTCTCTCAATGGTCTCTCTCTCTCTCTCAGGGCTCTGTCTGATCTCTCCATGTGGTCTCTCTCTGGTCTCTCCAGTCTCTCTCTGGTCTCTAACTGGTCTCTTTTTCTGATCTCTCTCTGGTCTCTCTCCGCTCTCTCTCTCTCCGCTCTCTCTCTGCTCTCTCTCTGCTCTCTCTCGCCGCTCTCTCTCTGCTCACTCACCGCTCTCTCTCTGCTCTCTCTCTCTACTCTCTCTCTCTCTGCTCTCTCTCTCCGCTCTCTCTCTCTGCTTTCTCTCTCTGCTTTCTCTCTCTGCTCTCTCTCTCTGCTCTCTCTCCGCTCTCTCTCTGCTCTCTCTCTGGTCTCTCTCTGGTCTCTCTCCGGCCTCTCTCTGCTCTCTCTCGCCGCTTTCTCTCTAGTCTCTCTTTCTGGTCTAAATAATCCAGACTTATAAATTCTCTTTAATAACTATGATCAATACTTTTATCCATAATCAGAGGTGACATCTGCAGAGTGTGTGGCTGTCGGAGCAGACAGGTCCGGACCCGTCTGACCCTGGGGCAGGTGTGACGTGTGGAGAGCGAGGTCCTTCTCTGAGTCTCTGTGATGTCACATGTTGGTGTTGGCTTCGGGTCCGCACAGGTTAACAGAGTTCAAGACCAGGGCGAAAGTCACTGGGTCAAAGTCAGGATGTTTCCACGGCTCCATTGTGCCACAGACCGGGTCCTCCCAAAACACACTCTCACAACTGTCAAAACATGGAACCTAAAACAAAGAATTAATCAATAAAACACAACAAAGAAGAACCCAAAAACAAAAACTGCAAAATAATATAACTAAATGAATGCCTCAAGAAAATAAATCTAAAAGTAAAATTAAGTCAAAAATAATAAAATAAAACCAGGTGAAAATAAAACCAGTCCATAACATGAAAAACAGCATGATTTTTACTTACACCTCCTGCTGGGACTCTGAGGAGCACAGGGACTGGCCTCCTGCTGGGACTCTGAGGAGCACAGGGACTGGCCTCCTGCTGGTCCCAGAGTCAGGACTAAACATGAAGAGGCAGCATTTTAGATTTAATTCAGAATCTGGAACAGTCTTCCTGAAAATGTGAGACAGGCTTCTTTGAAAATATCCAAATCCAGGTTAAAAACAGTTTTGTTTCTTCAACAACTGAAGGATTTTGTCTTTAGTTTTTTTGTTTGTATTGTGATTATTAATGATTTTAACGGTCTTGTTTTGAGTTGCCTTGTGTTCGAATCCCAGTCGGGATGGGGTCTTTCTGAGTGGAGTTTGCGTGTACTTCCCGTATCCGTGTAAGTTTCCTCCAGGTGCTCCGGTTTCACAAGTGCAATGTGTAAAATCCTCCTGCTGAGAGAGGCCTGAGTGGCAATGAAGGATGGGCCAAAATACAACTTAACTGTCAGACCACTGCAGCTAAGCAGGGCAGGGCCTGGTTGGTACTGTGATGGGAGACCTCTGCAAACACCAGGTGCCACAGTGGGGCGGCTGCAGCTGTAAAGTGATAAACTGCGGTTGTGTCCTTAGGCAAGACACTTCCCCCACATTAGAATGAGTCTGGTGTGTGTGTGAATGGTTGGTGGTGGTGGGAGGGGCCGATGGCACAGACTGGTTGCCTCGTTTCTGTCAGTGTGTCCCAGGGCAGCTGTGGCTACAGTAGTAGATTATCACCACTGTGTTTGGAGTGAAAGAATAACGACATGTGAAGTGTTTCTGTGCGTCCAGAAAAGCACTGGATAAAAGATGTATTATTTTTATTATTGATCTAACAGCAATATAAAGTCTTATGTAAATCTCAATATAAAACGATTTCTAATTAATGTTCTGTTTTGGATAATATTGTTTTTTTCTCGTTTGTTTCCTCGAGCGAATCCCACTTCGTCTGAGGTCAGCAGATCTGCACAGAACCTGTACCTCTTTGTTTTGACACTGTTAGCAAAGCATTGATTGTGCGATTGCCTCCTCGTTTCTGGGCTCCCTCGCGGCTCATTGCGGTCGTAACGGAGGCAGAGGTCATCCATTCGCGGTCATTCATGTGACTGGGGTCGCTCCTGGCCACGGTTGGTCACGTGGCAGATCATCAATGGACTGAGTGTGTTTTAAAACGATCCGGTTAGAGACGCAGAAGTTGGAAAGACATGAGGTCATCGCTCTGTGGTGAATAAGGTTCAGTCTGCGTCAGCTCTTTGGTCGGTATGAAGACGCGTACGCATTTAGGAGTCTGACCAGAACTGCTCTCAGAGGGAGATAAAAGACAGAGTCAGGAGAAAGAGGCTTGTGAAAGGAAAATGGTCCAAACATGACGACAAGAATGTGAAAAATGAACGCTTAGAGCTCGGGTTATTGGGAATTCATTAAAGTCAATGTGTTTGGGTAGCTCAGGGTTCACACTCGGTCCTCTTCGGTCTCTCTCTGGTCTCTATGGTCTCTCTTTGGTCTCTATGGTCCCTCTTTGGTCTCTCTCTCTGGTCCCTCTTGAGTTTCTCTCTGGGCTCTTTCTGGTCTCTCTCTAGTCTCTCTTTGGTCTCTCTCTGGTCTCTCTCTGGCCTTTCTCTGGGCTCTCTTTGGCCTCTTTATGGTCTCTATGGTCTCTATGGTCTCTCTCTGGTCTCGCTCTGGTTTCTCTTTGGCTTTTCTTTGGTTTCTCTTTTGTCTCCTCAGGGTTCAGACTCGGTCCCAAAGGTTCAGACTTGGTTCTCAGGGTTCAGAAGACTTGGTCCTCGAGTTCAGAAGGCTCTGTCCTCAGGGTTCAGACGGCTCTGTCCTCAGGGTTCAGACTCGGTCCTCAGGGTTCAGACTCGGTCCTCGAGGTTCAGACTCGGTCCTCGAGGTTCAGACTCGGCCCTCAGGGTTCAGACCTGGTCCTCGAGGTTCAGACTCGGTCCTCAGGGTTCAGACTCGGTCCTCGAGGTTCAGACTCGGTCCTCAGGGTTCAGACTTGTTCCCAGAGAAACCTTGCAGAGTGAAGTTGCAAAGAGATGAGGTCATCACATTGTTGTTATAAAAGTACTTCCTGCGTCAGCTCTTTGGTCGACTTAAAGTCGCACACGCGCTTTAGGAGTCTGACCCCGAAACCAGAACTGCTCTCAGAGGGAGAAAATAGACCGAGTCAGGAGAAAAGTGCTCTTAAAAGCAAAGGGCCTAAACATGACGACAACTTTGAGAAGAATGTGAAATATGAATACCTAACGCACTTTTTAATATGAGGGCCACTTTAGTTCACCAGACTGGTCCAGACCAGTGCCAATGACCTGCAGCGGTTTCTCTTTGGTATCTCTCTGGTCTCTCTATGGTCCCTCTCTCTGGTCTCTCTTTGGTATCTCTCTGGTCTCTCTCTGGTCTCTCTATGGTCCCTCTCTGGTCTCTCTTTGGTATCTCTCTGGTCTCTCTCTGGTCTCTCTATGGTCCCTCTCTCTGGTCTCTCTCTGGTCTCTCTTTGGTATCTCTCTGGTCTCTCTCTGGTCTCTCTATGGTCCCTCTCTGGTCTAGCAAGAAGGTTCTGGGTTCGAATCCTGGTCGGAACAGGGCCTTTCTGAGTGGAATTTGCATGTTCTCCCTGTCAGATTCAGATTCAGTTTATTTGCCATTTGCAGTAAAAAAAAAACACATAGGAATACATTAGTTAAAAGTCTCCAGTGTGCACAAATACAGACATAAAAACAACATTAAAAGACAAAAATAAAACAAATAAAACAGTAAACAAATGTCACTGTGAAATCGATCGACTAAAACAGTTTCAAAACAAGTGCAAATCATTAAAGTGCTCTGTTCACACTGATAACAGCTTGTGGATAAAAACTGTTAGCGTAACGAGATGTCCTGCATCTCAGAGAGCGATATCTTCTGCCAGAGGGAAGAAGCTGGAACATGGCTTTCCCAGGGTGGCCAGAAGAGTCATTGACAATCCTAAGAGCTTTGTTTAAAAGTCTGGATTTATAAAGAACCTCCAGAACAGGAAGCTCACAGCCCACGGTCCTCTCTCTGGTCTCTCTCTGGTCTCTCTCTGGTCTCTCTCTCTGGTCTCTCTCTGGTCTCTCTCTGGTCTCTCTCTGGTCTCTCTCTGGTCTCTCTCTGGTCTCTCTCTGGTCTCTTTCTGGTCTCTCTCTGGTCTCTCTCTTGGTCTCTCTCTGGTCTCTCTCTGGTCTCTTTCTGGTCTCTCTCTGGTCTCTCTCTGGTCTCTCTCTGGTCTCTCTCTGGTCTCTCTCTGGTCTCTCTCTGGTCTCTTTTGGTCTCTCTCTGGGTCTCTCTCTGGTCTCTCTCTGGTCTCTCTCTCTGGTCTCTCTCTCTGGTCTCTCTCTGGTCTCTCTCTGGTCTCTCTCTGGTCTCTCTCTGGTCTCTCTCTGGTCTCTCTCTGGTCTCACAGCCCACAGTCCTCTTTGCAGAGCGGAGCACCTTGTTTAAAGCTCTCTTTTCTTTATCTGTGATGTTTCCAAACCACACAGACACAGAACAAACAAGTAAACTCTCAATGGTGCAGCGATAGAAGTTAAGCAGAATCTTAGAGTTAGTGGTAAATTGAGTAAGTTTACGCAGAAAGTAGAGACGCTGACGAGCTTTCTTAACGACTCGGTCAGTGTTTTTAACCCATTTCAGGTTAGACAGAGTTAAACCCAGAAACTTGCACTCCTCTACGATCTGCACCTGGGAGTTGTCGATTACGACAGGCAAATGAGAACTATTGCGACTGAAGTCATAGACCAGTTCACATGTTTTGGATGCGTTCAGCTGGAGGTTGTTAGTTTGACTCCACTGAACCACATTTTGTATCTCTGCTCTATAAGAGGATTCATCAGTGTCACTGATGAGACCGATGATGGTGGTGTCATCAGCATATTTAATGATCAGATTTGAGTCAGAGGAGGACACACAATCGTGAGTGTACAAAGTAAAAAGCAAAGGATTCAAAATACATCCCTGAGGAGAACCAGTGCTCACAGAAACAACATCAGAAAAACAGTCATTGATTTTCACTCTCTGAGATCTGTCAGTTAAAAAGCTAAAAATCCATTTACACATGGCAACACTTAAACCGAGAGACATGAGCTTTTCAATCAGTTTACCTGGGACAAGGCAGTGAAAAGCAGAGCTATAATCGATGAAAAGCATTATTGCGACAGATTTTCTAGTGTCCAAGTGACTGTAGACAGAGTTCAGAGCAAAGGAGATGGCATCCTCCACACTCCTGTGTCTGATTGTTGTTTGTTTCTGTGCTACTATGCTATCTATGTAACTTAAAAATAACGCTTTTATCAAAAGTGTGAATATGTATTCAGTAAATCAGTAACTCCTCCTTTCGCCCATTTTATGTTTTCTTTCCGAAAATGTGAGACCGTCTTTTTCTCTGATAATGTTCAGATCCAGGTTAAAAACAACTGAAGGATTGTGTCTTCTTTCTTTTTAATGTACCCTGAGTGTTTTTGACTTTAACGCTGTGTAAAGGTAAAGATGCATTTTATTAATCCCCGTTGTAGGGAAATTCGATCCTCTGCATTTGACCCATCCTGATGCCACTGAGGCTTACGTCAGGAGCAGTGGTCGCCGTAGTAACAGCGCCCGGGAACCACTTCCAGATGTTGATGCTCGGCTTGGCCAGGACCAGAGCTGGAGGATTTAACCTGGTGTGCATGTTTTTAGTGGTAGGGGAAACTGGAGTACCCAGAGGAAACCTATCCAAGCACGGGGAGAACATGCAAACTCCACTCAGAAAGACCCTGTTCCGACGGGGATTCTAACCCAGGACCTTCTTGCTGAGAGGCGAGAGTGCTATCCACTCAGCCACCATGCCGCCCGTGTGTTTGAACCAGTGGGGGCGGGTCCCGGTGTTCTGTTGAGTTGGTCTGCCCGTTGAGATGATCTCCCTCAGCTGTTAATAATGTAATGCAAACCTGCGCTGCGCGTCTCACGGCAGCCAAAGCAATCCAAGATGGCGGACATGTAGTCCGCGAATTGCTTTAAGTTAAATACGATCGAATCAAGACACGAATGTCACTTTTAATGCAATTTGAGGCGAGATGTTGATGGTTCCATGTTGTGATATGTGGGTTTTTAGAGAAAGAGTTTCGTGTAAAGTTTGTTTTAAGCAGTCCACTGCCCCTGTGAAACTACACCGCTAGTGTGCCCAAATCTGACTTGCGCATGCGCAGAAACCCGCCAGAAGTGCGAAAAAACTCGATCTAATTAAATATTCGTTTGTACACACTAATATGATCATATTGAATACAGTATGATACATGCGTAAACATTAATTTATTATTTCCATTATCAACCCGACAGACCAGTCACAGGACGCGTCATGGGCCTGTCGTATGCAGCAGTCAACTCAGGGACAGCGATCACACAGCTGCGGTGTAGTTTCACAGGAGCAGTGGACTGCTTAAAACAAACTTTACACGAAACTCTTACTCTTAAAAACCCACATATCACAACACGGAACCATCAACATCTCGCCTCAAATTGCATTAAAAGTGACATTTGTGTCTTAATTCGTTTGTATTTAACTTTTAAAGCAATTCGCGGACTACATGTCTGCTATCTTGGATTGCTTCGGCTGCCGTGAGACGCGCAGGTTTGCATTACATCATTAACAGCTGAGCCAGATCATCTCGACGGGCAGACCAACTCCGCAGAACACCTGTTCAGAAGTGGACAAAATGACGTGCGCTGATATGCTGCAATACCACTCCAGGCCGATGGGGGTGGACCCAGAATAAGAATTAGCCGAATGCTAACATATAGCATCTTCTTACCTCTCAAAAACACCTTTACAGGATGGTCCAAAAGTTGGTTCTTGGCCCAAACATGTGGAACGGAGCGTTCCACATGTGTGTCAATACTGAGGGGGGTGTTTTGGTCCAGTCTGGTTTAGTCGCTGTGAATTTTTGAATGGGGCTCGTGCAGCTGACGCATGCGCAGATGTGTTTTTTTCACATTTTCCAGCCCCCGCGGCCATTTTGAATCACCCCATGAGAGCCCAATTTTTGGCCCATTAGTTAGAACGGCGGAGATAGGCGTGACTACCTCCGTTAATATGGACTATGGTATGAACTGTGCGATACCAATAAACTTGCCACTTTGGAATCCACTGGTCTGTAAATGTAACATGATCAACTGCAGTTCTAGTCTGAGGCCACTAGAGGGCTCTGTTCCATCAGACACAACACAACCAGCTGACACATAACTCTCCCTGTTACTCCCCTTCTCCCCCCTCACCCCCTGTCCCCTCATGTCCAAATTGCTGACGCCTCAAAGAGAGTGTGTGTGTGTGTGTGTGCGTGTGTGTGTGTGCGTGTGTATGTGTGTGTGACCCCGGTAAGTCCCCCTGTGCCTGGGAGAGGGGGAGGTCCTACACGGGCACAGCCGGAGCAAGTGCCGCAGTCCAGGGTCTTCAGCGCTGCGTCTGTGCCAAGGTGAGTGTCTCTGTCCCTGTGTGCAATATCTCTGTCCCTGTGTGCAATATCTCTGTCCCTGTGTGCAATATCTCTGTCCCTGTGTGCAATATCTCTGTCCCTGTGTGCAATATCTCTGTCCCTGTGTGCAATATCTCTGTCCCTGTGTGCAATATCTCTGTCCCTGTGTGCAATATCTCTGTCCCTGTGTACAATAGTGTGCAATCATGGCCATTGTTTAGACTGGTTCTGGCTTTGTGTGGTGCTGGGATTAACGTGTGTGTGCAAGAAGTAACTTATATCTGTATTTTGTTTCACCTAATTACAAACTAGGTCACAGTGTGGAAGCAGTGTGTGTGTGTCTCTCTGTGTGTGTCTCTCTCTGTGTGTGTGTGTGTCTCTGTGTGTGTGTGTTATCTCGTTGTTGCACTCTCTGCTGCTGTGTTTTGAGCTGTTTTAGATAAAATAGTCCTTTACAAATGAATTGCAACATCTCAAACTCTCAGTGTTTGTGGATTCTTCTTTCTCCAATGCGTTTTTTTTTTTACTTTTTAAACTCAAAACATGATTTAAAATGTGTTGTTTTTGACACACAACATCGTCAGCATAACACATAATCAGCCACATTTCTTATAGAATATTGTCACATATTTTCTCTTCTGACTTGTGTGTCTAGAATGGACTGGACTTTTCTCCAGAGCACACAGATATAGATACACACACATATATATATTTAGATTATATGTGTATAAGCCATAACACTCTCACACTGTAGTCATTATTGCAGTAGTTTTATCCTAAACGTATACAAATATTACGACTAAATATGTGGGACCACCTTTTTACATGACGAGAGATGCATTTATCTGAAACGCACTGATTCCACCTTTTTTCTTGATATTAAAATCCTGTTATATCATCATTAGTTACTGTTGTGATGTAGAAATAGGGCGGTAACAAGAAATACTTTTACTTATTTACCTAATGTTCTTACAGAGACATGTGTGACTTTAGTACCTGTGCTACTAAACAGTTTTTATCCTCAAGTTCATCATCAAAACTAAATAGTCCTTTGTCTCAGACCTGTTCCTTTTGTGCCGTGACTTTAACAGATTTTAAATTCAATCATAAAAAACTTGTAATTCTCTCATTCACCTCGACACATGTTTAAAACGGCGATAGAAGAACAAGCAAAACACTTCACACTCAGTTCATTTGGATCTGAATTACTTTTCTTACTTAAAGATTACTTACTTATTTGCCATTTGCAGTAAAACCCCATTGGAATACATGTGCAAAACTCCCCCCCAGTCTGCACCATAGAAATATATCAAATAAATCAAGTTAAAAAACTACAGAAAGACTTTTTCCGCTGCAACTTTGGAGTCTCTGGAGACTCTGGAGACTCTGGAGACTCTGGAGCCTGAAGCAGCTAAAGGAGCTGTAGGAGCTGCAGTAGCTGAAGGAGCAGAAGCCGCGGGGGTCGGCGCGGCCTGAAGTATCCGAGCTGTGAAGCTAAATTTAAGCTAGCAGCTAACCCGGAATGTTTCACTGAAGCAGAAAGACGAGGACGACTGACCCCAGGGACCGCGACAAGTCCCTGACCCGCTCCCACTCATTAAGCTGCTGTGTGTGTGTGTTTATATGTGTGTGTGAGAGAGAGTGTGTGTGTGTGAGAGTGTGTGTGTGTGTGTATGTGTGTGTATGAGTATGTCTCTGCGTGTGTGTGTGAGAGTGTGTGTCTGCGTGTGTATATAGCTACAGTACAGACCAAAAGTTTGGACACACCTTTTTTATTTTGATGATTATGAAAATTGTAGATTGACACTGAAGGCCTCAAACCTATGAATGAACTCATGTGAATTATGTTCGTAGTAAAAAAGTATGAACCAAGTGAAACCATGTGTTATATTCTGGTTCTTCAAAGTAGAACCTTTTGCTCTGATACTGCTTCACTCTTGGCATTCTCTGGATGAGCTTCAAGAGGACCTGAAATGGTCTCCAACAGTCTGGAAGGAGTTCCCATGATGCTTTGCACTTGTTGGCCCCTTCACTCTGTGGTCCAGCCCCAAAACCATCTGGACTGGGTTCAGGTCCAAAACCATCTGGACTGGGTTCAGGTCCAAAACCATCTGGACTGGGTTCAGGTCCAAAACCATCTGGACTGGGTTCAGGTCCAGAACCATCCGGACTGGGTTCAGGTCCAAAACCATCTGGACTGGGTTCAGGTCCAAAACCATCTGGACTGGGTTCAGGTCCAAAACCATCTGGACTGGGTTCAGGTCCAAAACCATCTGGACTGGGTTCAGGTCCAGAACCATCCGGACTGGGTTCAGGTCCAAAACCATCTGGACTGGGTTCAGGTCCGGTGACTGTGGAGGTCATGTGGCCCAGCACCATCTCTCTCCTTATTGGTCAAACAGCCCTTACACAGCCTGGTGTAGGTCTACAGCCAATAGCCATGAAAAGACACTCAGTGAAGGAGAGAGGGTGTCCAAACGTTTGCTCTGTACTGTATGAGTCCTCAGACGGCTGTAGACCCAGGACTGAGGCTGTAGACCCAGGACTGAGGCTGTAGACCCAGGACTGAGGCTGTAGATCCAGGACTGAGGCTGCAGATCCACGATTGAGGCTGATCTGTTGGAGAAATGCACTAATTACTTGTTGTTAAAATGTTACTGAGTTCTCTACACCGCCCTCAGATCCAAAAGCAATAGTCCTGGTTTGGTTTGAGCCTCGTTCAGACTCCATTAAGATTCACATAAACTGATGTCAGTTAGATGCCAAAGCACAGAACTCTTTGAAGTCTTAAGTTAACAACGTCTCTTTTATTGGAGCGAAGAGGAAGAGGCCGAGGTCTTATTTAGCCTGAAACAGTCAACAACACGGAACCACACGGAACCACACAGAACCACACGGAACTACACGGAACCACACGGCGTCTCAACATCAGGTGTAGGTCCAGGAACAGGGCTGACCCTCTGAGCTGGAATCCTCACTCTTCTCTCTCATTAATGTAAAACCTACGTCACTTTTACAACAACAAATGTCTTCATTGTGTCAGAAAACATGTGGCGTTTTTCCAGACTGATCCCAGTGAGTCACTATTTGAGGCTGTGGGCTGAGAGCTGCGGTGGTCCTAAAAAACGGATCTAAAAAAGTGACAGAAGCAGATTCATTCGTTTTTATATTGTGCTAAATGATAAAATAAAACGAAAGAGAGAGGCCAGAGAGAGACCAGAGGGAGGCCAGTGAGAGACCAGAGAGAGACCAGAGAGAGAGACCAGAGAGAGAGACCAGAGAGAAGCCAGTGAGAAACCAGAGAGAGGCCAGAGAGAGAGGCCAGAGAGAGAGGCCAGAGAGAGAGACCAGAGAGAGACCAGAGAGAGACCAGAGAGAGAGACCAGAGAGAGACCAGAGAGAGAGGCCAGAGAGAGAGACCAGAGAGAGACCAGAGAGAGAGGCCAGAGAGAGAGGCCAGAGAGAGGCCAGAGAGAGGCCAGAGAGAGGCCAGAGAGAGGCCAGAGAGAGGCCAGAGAGAGACCAGAGAGAGACCAGAGAGAGACCAGAGAGAGAGGCCAGAGAGAGAGACCAGAGAGAGACCAGAGAGAGAGGCCAGAGAGAGAGGCCAGAGAGAGGCCAGAGAGAGGCCAGAGAGAGGCCAGAGAGAGACCAGAGAGAGACCAGAGAGAGACCAGAGAGAGACCAGAGAGAGACCAGAGAGAGACCAGAGAGAGACCAGAGAGAGACCAGAGAGAGACCAGAGAGAGACCAGAGAGAGACCAGAGAGAGACCAGAGAGAGACCAGAGAGAGAGACCAGAGAGAGACCAGAGAAAGGCCAGAGCGAAGAGGCCCAGGAATCCTGGGGTGTTCCCAGGTCTCTCCAGAGAGACGTCCAGGTTTATGTGTCTGTATATTTTTGTACCTTCAATTGTGGTGGTACTTTTTCTTTCAGTGAATTTTATCATACATATCAAAAATAAACTAAGACCAGCCAAATGTCCCCTGACAAACAATCAGAGAGCAGACAGACACACTCTGCTCTCTGGTTGGAATCGTGCTTGACAATTTTAAACATACATATAATCGACATCATGTCCATTGTATTTTTGATTCAGAATAATCCCATTTAATTTTGTTCAGAAATGGTCAGAGATGATGCGACATGTGAATAGTACAATTCCAAAAACAGATAAGAAGTGACATTTAGAAAATAATGGAAAGACTTTGACGATTCATCCTTTAGAGTAGATTCACGAAATCTGTACCTGTAATTTAAAATAAAAATATTACACAGTCCCTTTAACCGTACATTTGTGACCGTGTGTGACCCGCCGCGGGGACAGGGCTGTTGGAAACGCAAACATCCCAGGATCAGAGTCCGCTGCTCGGCTTTGTGTTTGTTTTGGCTCCTGCTCGACACATGCCCTCTCGGTCTCACTGTAGTCCCAGAGCTTCTGTCAGCTTCTAACAGCCTCCAGAAACAAACAAAAGGCTGTCACTGGAGCTGGACTAGCCCCGTGTGCAGGACCGTCACATTAGTCCTGGTCTCAGGTTTTAGTGACGACTGTTGGCTGCACCATTCATTTAACAAGTGCATTCTGAAGTCCACAGCGGCTAAACTAGACTGGTCCCAAAGAATATGCTCCCCTCAGCAATGACAGCATCTGATTGGACCAAGAGCCACTTTTGGACTATCCTGTAAAGATGTTTTTGAGAGTAAAGAACCAGAGAGAGACCTGCGAGATACCAAAGAGAGGCCAGAGAGAGACCAGAGAGAAACCAGAGAGAGACCGGAGAGAGACCAGAGAGAGGCCAGAGAGAGGCCAGAGAGAGAGACCAGAGAGAGAGACCAGAGAGAGACCAGAGAGACCAGAGAGAGAGACCAGAGAGAGAGACCAGAGAGAGAGACCAGAGAGAGACCAGAGAGAGACCAGAGAGAGACCAGAGAGAGACCAGAGAGAGAGACCAGAGAGAGAGACCAGAGAGAGAGACCAGAGAGAGACCAGAGAGAGACCAGAGAGAGACCAGAGAGAGACCAGAGAGAGACCAGAGAGAGACCAGAGAGAGGCCAGAGAGAGGCCAGAGAGGGACTAGTAAGAGAGACCAGAGAGACTAGAAGGGGAGACCAGAGATACTAGTGAGAGACACTAGAGAGAGACCAGAGAGACCAGATGGAGACCAGAGAAAGAGTCTAGAGAAAGACCAGGGAGAGACCAGAGAGAGAAACAGGAGAAACCGGAGAGAGACCAGAGAGAGAGACCAGAGAGAGACCAGAGAGAGACCAGAGAGAGACCAGAGAGAGAGACCCGAGAGAGACCAGAGAGAGAGACCAGAGAGAGACCAGAGAGAGAGACCAGAGAGAGAGACCCGAGAGAGACCCGAGAGAGACCAGAGAGAGACCAGAGAGAGACCAGAGAGAGACCAGAGAGAGTCCACAGCGGCTAAACTAGACTGGTCCCAAAAAATATACTCCCCTCAGCGATGACAGCATCTGATCGAACCAAGAGCCACTTTTGGACTATCCTGTAGAGATGTTTTTGAGAGCAAAGAAGGTGTTGTAGGAAAGCATTGGGTAATTCTGTTTCCGGGTGCACCCCCACCAGCAAGGAGTCGGACTACAAGCATGTCAGCGCACGTGCTCTTGGACCTTTTTGAGCCGGGACCCGCCCACACAGGTCTCTCCATGGCCTTGAACCAAAGCACATCTGTGACATGTTAGTGCCACAGGACCAGCAGGAGACTAGTCCCTGTGCTTCCCAGAGTCAGGACTAAACATGGGGAGGCAGTGATTCAGATTCATGCAGCTAAAATCTGGAACAGTCTTCCTGAAAATGTGAGACAGGCTTCTTCAAATCCAGGTCAAACATCTTTACTCTTGTGGGATATTAAAATATTTCTTCTTTAAGTTGGGCCTTGCTTCTCTCTCTCTCTAACCCTCTTTCTCTCTGTCTCTCTCTCTCTCTCTCTGTGAAAGTGAAGACCTGACAGTGTCTGTGTCACATTCTAAAGAACAATCATCACAGATCAAAGTCTTTCTGCTGAGGACCACGACCTGAGCCTGGACTGGACGATGGTACATGGTCCAGTCCCTGCAGGTCAATGTGAACAGAGACTTTACCATGTGGGGTTTACCAGGAATATGAGACTATTTGGAAATCAAATCCATCACAATCAGCCTCCTCATGTTTAGTCCTGACTCTGGGACCAGCAGGAGGCCAGTCCCTGTGCTCCTCAGAGTCACCAACAGGAGACCAGTCCCTGTGCTCCTTAGAGTCCCAGCAGGAGGCCAGTCCCTGTGCTCCTCAGAGTCCCAGCAGGAGGCCAGTCCCTGTGCTCCTCAGAGTCACCAACAGGAGACCAGTCCCTGTGCTCCTCAGAGTCACCAACAGGAGACCAGTCCCTGTGCTCCTCAGAGTCACCAACAGGAGGCCAGTCCCTGTGCTCCTCAGAGTATGTCACAGATGTGCTTTGGAGAGAGCAGCTTCAAAGTCTTGTCTCTAAACCACACGTTGCCTTTAAAAAGGTGAAGTTAAAGATGTGTGTAACTCTAACCCTCAGACTAAGAATAGCAGAAACAGACCGAGGCGACGCATTTACTCTGACGACAGCAGAGTTCACACACGAGACATCATCGAAATGTCTTTACAAAAACACAAGTTAATGAAGTGATCCGGAAATCCTCGTTCCCACTCATCACCTATCCCCGCCCACAGCCTCTCTGCTGCAAGGGCTGGTTAGAAGCTTTCAGGAAGACTGTTCCACCACTGTCTTTACGTTTACCATGTGAGGTCTCGTCTTTTATACATGGCTGTTTTTTAAACCGGATTATTGAATATTTTCTTTACTGAATCCAACAAAAGGATCAGCTCTGTGTGTAACAAGTCTCCCCAAGGTCTCAAAGTCCATCTGTGACATGTTAGGAACCAACTCTGAGGAGCACAGGGACTGGCCTCCTGCTGGGACTCTGAGGAGCACAGGGACTGGCCTCCTGTTGGGACTCTGAGGAGCACAGGTACTGGTCGTGGTCCGCAGCAGAAAGCCTTTGATCTGTGATTATTGTTCTTTAGAACCTGACACCTCTTCACTTTCACACCAGGAGAGAGAAACACACAGAGAGAGAAAGACAGAGACAGAGAGAGAGAAAGACAGAGACGGAGAGAGAGACAGAGAGAAAGACACAGAGAGAGAAAGACAGAGACAGAGAGAGAGAGACAGAGAGAAAGACAGAGAGAAAGACACAGAGAGAGAAAGAGTGAGAGAGAGAGATTTCAGTTTCTACATTTACGGTGTTGAGTATGAATGAAATTGCCGGTGTCTGTCGTTTGGTCGTGGAGTCAATAACTGTCTTTCTAAGTATAATAATGTGATCTGACTTGAGTGAAAATCCAGCATACTAACATTATGTATCTGCTCCTAGTTTGCATGTTCTCCTACTGCGCCATGGTTCAGTCTTGGGCCATAGTAAACCTGAGGACGCTGTAATATCATTGGACTCTGAGCTGCAGATGTGTCGTGCCTCAGAGTCCCACAGGATCCAACTACAGACCTCTGTCATTCTAAACACTGACAAACAATCCACACTGACATCAGAACAGAAGTGGTTAACAATTATAAACCTCTTTGTGACTCTGGTCTGTGAAAGGCGGTATACAAATAAAGATTACTTACTTACTTACTTAACTCGGAGCAGTCAAATTGACGGCTTTTAGTTGTGGTATTACCGCATTTGTCATTGTCTGAACATTGAGACTTTTTCTGTCTCTACGCGTTGAAGTTCTACCTTTAACTTAAGTTCATTTGGATGTTTCTTTTGGCTTCTTGGTAACTGGCCTCCTTCCTCCTTCTTCTTGGTCCTGGTTCTGATTCTGTTTACAACAAACTCTGTTATTATGCAGTATGTGTTCTGTATTACTGTAACAGTTCTTATTTTATCACGAATAACACAAAGACTGCTCCTGCTCCTGTGAAGTCTTATTTTTTGACGCACACAGCACAAGAAGTCAGCCCTATGCTCCCCCTGCTGCTGTCCCTGTGATCTCTATGGAGAAGTGAAGAGGACAGAACAGGCCAGAGGACTAATGTACAGCAGCCAAACTAACATGCATGTCTTTGATTCTGTTTCTGAGTCTGGTTTGTGCCCAGATTAAAGATGCATAGAACTAGTTGTAAGATTTTGCTAGCTTAGCCGTAGCGCCAACTCGAAACCACTCCCCCCTTCCAAGTGAGAACGCGCCTTTATAATGACAACTTAGTATGTACTGAGAACTGTTTTGTATTTGGTATTTGTATACAGTATAATCTTTGGTCTATGATGTTAACCGTGTTCCCCTTGTTTCCTGTCTCGGTGCAGTGCCCTCTCTGGAGCGGGTAGTGTGAGTGGGCGAGTGTGTGTGTGTGACCCTCCGGAGCCATGTCGGACCCACGGGACATCGATGAGGACGCCATCCTCAAGGGCATGAGCGCCGAGGAGCTGGACCAGCTGGAGTACGAGCTGCAGGAGATGGATCCTGAGGTAAAACCATCGTATTTCTACATGGTGCATGTGCTGAGAGACCAGAGAGACCAGAGAGAGACCAGAGAGAGAGAGGGTGACCAGAGAGAGACCGGAGAGAGAGACCAGAGAGAGAGACCAGAGAGAGACCGGAGAGAGAGACCAGAGAGAGAGAGGGTGACCAGAGAGAGACCGGAGAGAGAGACCAGAGAGAGAGACCAGAGAGAGACCGGAGAGAGAGAGACCAGAGAGAGGGAGGGTGACCAGAGAGAGACCGGAGAGGGAGACCAGAGAGAGAGACCAGAGAGAGATCAAAGAGACTGGAGGGAGAGACCAGAGACCAAAGAGAAAGACCAGAGAGAGACCAAAGAGAGAGACCAGAGAGACCAAAGAGAGAGACCAGAGAGAGACCAAAGAGAGAGACCAGAGAGAGACCAAAGAGAGAGACCAGAGAGAGACCAGAGGGAGACCAGAGGGAGACCAGAGAGAGACCAGAGAGAGACCAGAGAGAGACCAGAGAGAGACCAGAGAGAGACCAGAGGGAGACCAGAGGGAGACCAGAGGGAGACCAGAGGGAGACCAGAGGTAGACCAGAGGTAGACCAGAGGTAGACCAGAGGTAGACCAGAGGTAGACCAGAGGTAGACCAGAGGTAGACCAGAGGGAGACCAGAGGGAGACCAGAGGGAGACCAGAGCGAGACCAGAGAGAGGGAGACCCGAGCATTATGGGAAGACCACGGTAGTTCCCTGAGGTAAAACCATCGTATATCTACATGGTGTCTGTCTGCTGTGACCATAGACTGTGATACTGTGACCAGAGTGAAGAGGGTTCAACCAATGCAGAAAAAGCGGTTTAAACGGCGGCCATCTTGGCAATTTTGGAGCCAAATTTCTTATATGAAATATTCTTACTACAGGGTCACCCACTCACCATAGCAGGGGCACATGCCAACTAATGTGTTGCTAAGGCGGTTGCTACGGCAAGCCGGAGATCCCACCTGCAACGGTTACTGAGCTTGAGGAGTTTACTTTTCAATGTATTTGTGTATCGCCCTAAATCACAATTTTTCACAGTTGTCGATTCATAAACTTCAGATCAGAAAATCAAACAGTTTGAACTATTCATTATTCATTATAGATAATTGACTCTTTAAAAACTCATTATCGTCATTTTGGCCCAAATGTTCCAGACCTCAGTCCTGCTCAGTCCACGCTCCAGAGACTGCATCAACATGACCTGTGACCGTGTGTTCCAGAGAGACCGGAGAGAGACCAGAGAGAGAGACCGGAGAGAGACTAGAGAGAGATCAGAGAGAGAGAGACCAGAGAGAGACCAGAGAGAGACCAGAGAGACCAGAGAGACCAGAGAGACCAGAGAGACCAGAGAGACCAGAGAGACCAGAGAGACCAGAGAGACAAGAGAGACCAGAGAGACCAGAGAGACAAGAGAGACAAGAGAGACCAGAGAGACCAGAGAGACCAGAGAGACCAGAGAGACCAGAGAGACCAGAGAGACAAGAGAGACCAGAGAGACCAGAGAGACAAGAGAGACAAGAGAGACCAGAGAGACCAGAGAGACCAGAGAGACAAGAGAGACCAGAGAGAGACCAGAGAGAGACCAGAGAGACAAGAGAGACAAGAGAGACCAGAGAGATACCCGGGAGAGACCGGAGAGACCAGAGAGACCAGAGAGAGAGACCAGAGAGAGACCAGAGTGAGACCAGAGAGACAAGAGAGACAAGAGAGACCAGAGAGATACCCGGGAGAGACCGGAGAGACCGGAGAGACCAGAGAGACCAGAGAGAGAGACCAGAGAGAGAGACAAGAGAGAGAGACAAGACAGAGAGACAAGACAGAGAGACAAGACAGAGAGACAAGACAGAGACCAGAGAGGGACCGGAGAGAGACCGGAGAGACCAGAGAGACCAGAGAGACCAGAGAGAGACCAGAAAGAGACCGGAGAGAGACCGGAGAGACCAGAGAGACCAGAGAGATGGACAACCGAGGGAGACCAGAGAGATGGACAACAGAGATAGACCAGAGAGACCAGAGAGAGAGACCAGAGAGAGACCAGAGAGAGACCAGGGAGAGACCAGAGAGAGAGACTTGGAAAGAGACCAGAGAGAGACCAGAGAGAGACCAGAGAGAGACCGGAGAGAGACAAGACAGAGACCAGAGAGGGACCAGAGAGACCAGAGAGACCAGAGAGAGAGACCGGAGAGAGACCAGAGAGAGAGACCCCTATAATCAGAGACCAGAGACCAGAGAGTGACTAGAGAAGTGACCAGAGAGAGGCCAGAGAGAGACCAGAGAGAGACCAGAAGGAGGCCAGAGATAGAGAGATCAGAAAGAGAAACGGAAGGGAATGGGAAGCCTGCGGTTGTCCTCTGAACGAGTCACCATGACCTGTGGCCGTGTGTTTTCCCAGAATGCCATGCTTCCCGCGGGATACCGGCAGCGTGACCAGACCAAGAAGGGTCCGACCGGGCCCTACGACCGCGACGCCCTCATGCAGCACCTGGAGAAGAGCGCCATGGAGGACCCGGAGCGGGAGGAGCTGGTGCCCTTCACTGGGGAGAAGAAAGGTAAGAATGTTCAGTGGTGCCGGGTTTATGACAGCGGTGATGTGTTCTCAGAATAACACAGCATGAGTGAAGTCCATGAAGTAGCAGCTGTAGGTTTTAAGGCTGTAAAACCCTCAGACTTTGTTCAGTTATCTAACAACCTGAACTCACAACTGCTGAAGAGAGAGACCAGAGAGAGACCAGAGAGAGACCAGAGAGAGACCACAGAGAGACCAGAGAGAGACCAGAGAGAGACCACAGAGAGAGACCAGAGAGACCAGAGAGAGACCACAGAGAGAGACTAGAGAGACCAGGGAGAGACCAGAGAGAGACCACAGAGAGAGACTAGAGAGACCAGGGAGAGACCACAGAGAGACCACAGAGAGAGATTAGAGAGAAGGACCAGGGAGAGACCAGAGAGAGGGACTCGAGAGAGAGACCAGAGAAAACTCACATCTCTCTGGTCCAGCGAAAGAAAATGTATGTATTCTCCCTAAAATGTTGCGTTTGATCTTGATGGGCTCAAAGTTTGTACAAAACATTGAGCCCATCGCAGCAGAGTCTGGGTGATCCACAGGTCAAGGACTTTTGGGGCCAGTTCCTGCTCGTTGGGAGTTCCCCTTTGGGCGAAAGGAAAAGCTTTGAGTCTTATGTGACCTGGAAAATGAGATAAAACCCCCCAAAAATGTTTGAAAAAAACTGAAAGAGATTTGTTTTGCCAAAGCCTTGAACAGACTGGAGATTTGAACCGAACAGCTGGAATTCTGGAATCCCATTTTAACTGCTTTGTGATGTGTACTTTTTCAGGAAAGGCCTTTATTTCCAAGACAAAAAGAGAGATCCCAGCGAGTGAGCAGATCGAACTGGAGCCGGAGCTGGAGGAGGCTTTGAAGAACGCCACAGACGCCGAAATGTGCGACATCGCAGGTAAAACACAACATATTCTACTCAATTCAAGTCTGTGTGGGATTAAATCACTACAGCAGTTGTCTCTGAGTTGAAGTTGTCAGTTCACCAACAACAAATCAGAGAATCAAACCCATATGGATCCTGGACTGAGGCTGTAGATCCAGGACTGAGGCTGTAGACCCAGGACTGAGGCTGTAGATCCAGGACTGAGGCTTTAGATCCAGGACTGAGGCTGTAGACCCAGGACTGAGGCTTTAGATCCACGACTGAGGCTGTAGATCCAGGACTGACACTGTAGACCCAGGACTGAGGCTGTAGATCCAGGACTGAGGCTGTAGATCCAGGACTGAGACTGTAGATCCAGGACTGAGGCTGTAGACCCAGGACTGAGGCTGTAGACCCAGGACTGAGGCTGTAGATCCAGGACTGAGGCTGTAGATCCAGGACTGAAACTGTAGACCCAGGACTGAGGCTATACTGTAGATCCAGGACTGAGGCTGTAGACCCAGGACTGAGGCTGTAGATCCAGGACTGAAACTGTAGACCCAGGACTGAGGCTATACTGTAGATCCAGGACTCAGGCTATACTGTAGATCCAGGACTGAGGCTGTAGACCCAGGACTGAGGCTGTAGACCCAGGACTGAGGCTGTAGATCCAGGACTGAGGGCTGTGTGGTTCAGGACTGAGAAAGCTCCCATGATTAAAGGGGTCCTATCGTCACCTCATGAAACAGACAACGGGACAGCGGGTGAATAGCAATGAACAGACTACAGCTGAAATCATAATAATAAAAGATAAAGCCAGAGAGAGGATAGTATAGTGCTGTTACCAGACTCCTCCAGGGGGGGTTTCAATCTGCACCTGGACTGACAAACTCTGTTTTTTAGCTTAAAATTCTAAGTCTGACCGAGCCATGTGCCAAATTAAAGAGGAAAGTATTAACCCTGGCCTTGAAGGAGAGACTGTGTACCTTTCTTTGACGTGGCCGAGGAGCTGATTCCACAGTGTAGGAGCTTGGTAACTAAACTCTCCATTTGAAAAAGTGTTAATGTGACCTGTGTCCTTATTGTGCACATTCCTGGCGTCACTGGTGTCTCTTGACCCACATAGTCTGGACACAGGCCCTTTGTGTGGACCCAGGCCCTGTACTCCTGTGTTATTGCCTGCAGTGGGAAAGCTAAGCAGTCCCTATGCTAGCACACAAACAGGCCAAACATGCATTAGGATCCAATTCTCCGCGCTCAGCAACACTAAAATAAGTCTTGCTTGGACTGGGACCAGGGAGGGGGCTCGATTCCCCCCAGCAGAGCAGAGACAGAGGGGGTGACAGATAGACTTGGCTTAGTTTGTTTTCCCAACTCTTCTATCCACTGATATTAAACTTATTTTCCTTAGTGTTTGTAGTCCCCCCAAAGACTGTAAACAGATGGACAATGCTAACTCGCTAGCTCGATGAAGCCCAATAGGGAAGTGCCCATAAACAAACTTTTGCCCCAACTCTCTGTGGTTCCTATTGACTTAAATGTAAAAGTAAACTCTTCTTGCTCAGAAACTGTTTTCGTCAAACTCACAATTTTCCGTGGTTTAGAGCTCCCTATGACCCTGGTGTTTGTATTCATATCAATCAGATGTCTTCATTCACGGGGGAATGAAGCTAACGCCGTCGGAACAAATCCCCATATAAGGGAACTGGCTCCAGCTAGCTTATGCTCAAATCGGCTTCTTCTGAATTTGCGAACACAATGATGAGGTTAGCTCTGTCTGTCCTCTTCTAATGTACAGTCTATGAGTTATCCTTATAGTCTGAGATGGCTCTAACATGTCACAGATGGTAGTAGTAGTAGTAGTAGTAGTAATCTTTATTTATATACCGCCTTTTCACTGCACATCGGAGTCTCAAAGCGGTTTACAATTGTTATTTTTGGGAGTGGGGGTACAGGAGGCACATGCCAGACCTATTGTACATATTTTTAGTGGTAGGGGAAACCGGAGTACCCGGAGGAAACCTACGCAGACACGGGGAGAACATGCAAACTCCACTCAGAAAGGCCCTGGTCCAACCGGGATTCGAACCCAGGACCTTCTTGCTGAGAGGCGAGAGTGCTATCCACTCAGCCACCGTGCCGTCTATGTCCAAAGATGGACTGGACATCTTTGGACATAGATTCGCACACATACAGAGAGACCTGAGCACAGTACTAATGTGAGAGGACTTCTGAGTGATACAGTCACTGGAGGCATGTGGATGTTGAACAGTAGAGGTCCCAGGATCGACCCCTGTGGCACTCCGCAGTGTATGATATAAAACCATGCTTACTGTTTAAACCTGTCTTCAATTGGACTAGAGGCCACCCGCGGTACTGCAGCTTAAATCTACACCGGTAGACATGTGGGGAGAGACCCGGGGCAGACTACTTGGAGAGACCTGGGGCAGACCTCTTGGAGAGACCTGGGGCAGACTACTTGGAGAGACCTGGGGCAGACCTCTTGGAGAGACCTGGGGCAGACTACTTGGAGAGACCTGGGGCAGACCTCTTGGAGAGACCTGGGGCAGACCTCTTGGAGAGACCTGGGGCAGACTACTTGGAGAGACCTGGGGCACACCTCGTGGAGAGACCTGGGGCAGACCTCTTGGAGAGACCTGGGGCAGACTACTTGGAGAGACCTGGGGTAGACATCTTGGAGAAACCTGGGGTAGACATCTTGGAGAAACCTGGGGTAGACATCTTGGAGAGACCTGGGGTAGACATCTTGGAGAGACCAGGGGCAGACATCTTGGAGAGACCAGGGGCAGACATCTTGGAGAGACCTGGGGCAGACATCTTGGAGAGACCTGGGGCAGACATCTTGGAGAGACCAGGGGCAGACATCTTGGAGAGACCTGGGGCAGACTACTTGGAGAGACCTGGGGCACACCTCGTGGAGAGACCTGGGGCAGACTACTTGGAGAGACCTGGGGTAGACATCTTGGAGAAACCTGGGGTAGACATCTTGGAGAGACCTGGGGTAGACATCTTGGAGAGACCAGGGGCAGACCTCTTGGAGAGACCTGGGGCAGACCTCTTGGAGAGACCTGGGGCAGACTACTTGGAGAGACCTGGGGCACACCTCGTGGAGAGACCTGGGGCAGACCTCTTGGAGAGACCTGGGGCAGACTACTTGGAGAGACCTGGGGTAGACATCTTGGACTGGACATCTTTGGACATAGATTCGCACACATACAGAGAGACCTGAGCACAGTACTAATGTGAGAGGACTTCTGACTTCTGAGTGATACAGTCACTGGAGGCATGTGGATGTTGAACAGTAGAGGTCCCAGGATCGACCCCTGTGGCACTCCGCAGTGTATGATATAAAACCATGCTTACTGTTTAAACCTGTCTTCAATTGGACTAGAGGCCACCCGCGGTACTGCAGCTTAAATCTACACCGGTAGACATGTTGGAGAGACCTGGGGCAGACTACTTGGAGAGACCTGGGGCAGACTACTTGGAGAGACCTGGGGCAGACCTCTTGGAGAGACCTGGGGCAGACTACTTGGAGAGACCTGGGGCAGACCTCTTGGAGAGACCTGGGGCAGACTACTTGGAGAGACCTGGGGCAGACCTCTTGGAGAGAGGCCACCCGCGGTACTGCAGCTTAAATCTACACCGGTAGACATGTTGGAGAGACCTGGGGCAGACTACTTGGAGAGACCTGGGGTAGACATCTTGGAGAAACCTGGGGTAGACATCTTGGAGAAACCTGGGGTAGACATCTTGGAGAGACCTGGGGTAGACATCTTGGAGAGACCAGGGGCAGACATCTTGGAGAGACCAGGGGCAGACATCTTGGAGAGACCTGGGGCAGACATCTTGGAGAGACCTGGGGCAGACATCTTGGAGAGACCAGGGGCAGACATCTTGGAGAGAGACCTGATCCTTATAGTCTGAGATGGCTCTAACATGTCACAGATGGACTTTGGACATAGATTCACACCCACACAGAGAGACCTGAGCACAGTACTAATGTGAGAGGACTTCTGCTTCTAGTCAGAGCATTTTGTCAGAGTGATACAGTCACTGGAGGCATGTGGATGTTGAACAGTAGAGGTCCCAGGATCGACCCCTGTGGCACTCCGCAGCGCACGATATAAAACCATGCTTACTGTTTAAACCTGTCTTCACATGGACTAGAGGCCACCCACGGTACTGCAGCTTAAATCTACACCGGTAGACATGTTGGAGAGAGCAGGGGCAGACTACTTGGAGAGACCTGGGGCAGACTACTTGGAGAGACCTGGGGTAGACATCTTGGAGAGACCAGGGGCAGACATCTTGGAGAGACCAGGGGCAGACATCTTGGAGAGACCAGGGGAAGACATCTTGGAGAGACCAGGGGCAGACATCTTGGAGAGACCAGGGGAAGACATCTTGGAGAGACCAGGGGAAGACATCTTGGAGAGACCAGGGGCAGACATCTTGGAGAGACCAGGGGAAGACATCTTGGAGAGACCAGGGGCAGACATCTTGGAGAGACCAGGGGCAGACATCTTGGAGAGACCTGGGGCTTGTCTAAAACACATACGATTCTGGCTGAATAGCTCGGAGCTGTTCTACATATCTTACTGCTGTCTGTAATTACTTAAGGGTAATAATAGCTTAGCATATTAGCTGTGGCCACCCACCGAGGCCCATGGGCTGCCGTCCAGAGAGGGATCACAGCGCAGTTAGCCTCTGTCACACTTTTGTTTTGGCTTTTTGACAATCGCTGGAGCAGCTTCAGTTCACATGTGAGAGAGTGCAGAGACGGACAGGATTTTCATTCTTGATTAGCAGCGAGGTTATTTACAGCTCTCATAATGGCCACAGAGGGAAAGTAAAGCTTCTGTTGGCTTTGTTAAAGTGAAATATAAAAACTATGCAATGACACAGTATTATTTATGATCATCCGCGTGACTTATGTGATCATTCTGAGCTCTACATATGTCACTGGGTTACGTAGTTAATGTTGCCTCACTCACCTCACTGGGACTTAATGAAAGAACACAGAAATAAGAATACATCTAGCCCTATCATTTCAAAACATACACAATCTTCTCTGCATCTACTTTAGTTATGTTTTCTCCAAGATATCTGCTCATTCAGACGTGTTCTGGTCAGCTCTGGTTCTCCTGGTACTAACTATTGTATACCTTTTGCACTTGTTTTTATGAGCTTGGTGGAAATGACAGTGCTTCTAATTTTCCATTTTGCAAAAACTCTATTCCCCAGTATTTATACCAAATGGTGCCGTCGCAGGAGTGCTGGTGTGTACTATCCTGGTGCACACTAGGCTAGAATCTTGAATAGACAAATACAAAACAATTGTTGTGGTCTGAAAGGTTCACAGTTTGCTACTTGTACTAAACTCTTTCTGCTGAGACAAACAAAATGTGTAGTTTTTGAATAAGAAAAGTAATGTACCCCAGCTTTAATGTTGTAGAAATTGACCAACGTCTGGGAGGGTGTCGGACGGACAGAAGACATGTTTTATTGTCGATGGTAGAGATGAGCACGAACACAGATTCACAGAATGCAAGTGATATTATACAGCATGGAGGAATGGAGAGCTCCAATCAGCATTTGCCAAAGTGTTGGCAGCTTCAGCCTTGAGTTAAACCGAAACATTCAAGTGGAAATGTACCAGCTCCTGCATGTGTAATAAATGAATCCAGCTTTAACCACAGGCGCTTCAATGTCTTAGAAAATATCCAAATTTGTACAGCATTTGTTTGGATTATTTTAAGGGAAAAAAGTGTAAATATTTCCTATATATATATATTTATGATGGTAGCAATCATCTTAATGGCACAAAAAGTTAAATTATCATTTGTTTCAGGGAGAATCATAATCATCTTATAATGTAGCTGATTGGTCAGAACACACATGTCCCTCCGTGGTCTCTCTCTCCAGTCTCCTTCAGACTAGGGAGAGAGATCACTCCCTGGTCTCTCTCTCTGGTCTCTCTCCGGTCTCTCTTTCTGGTCTCTCTGGTCTCTCTCTGGTCTCTCTCTGGTCCCTCTCTCTGGTCTCTCTCTGGTCTCTCTCTCTGGTCTCTCTCTCTGGTCTCTCTCAGGTCTCTCTTTGGTCTCTCTCTGGTCTCTCTCTGGTCTCTCTCTGGTCTCTCTCTGGTCTCTCTCTGGTCTCTCTCTGGTCTCTCTCTGGTCTCTCTCTCTGGTCTCTCTCTGGTCTCTCTGGTCTCTCTCTGGTCTCTCTCTCTGGTCTCTCTCTCTGGTCTCTCTCTCTGGTCTCTCTCTCTGGTCTCTCTCTCTCTGGTCTCTCTCTGGTCTCTCTCTGGTCTCTCTCTGGTCTCTCTCTCTGGTCTCTCTCTGGTCTCTCTCTGGTCTCTCTCTTGGTCTCTCTCTGGTCTCTCTTGGTCTCTCTCTGGTCTCTCTCTCTCTCTCTGGTCTCTCTCTGGTCTCTCTCTGGTCTCTCTCTGGTCTCTCTCTGGTCTCTCTTGGTCTCTTTGTCTCTCTTTGGTCTCTCTTTGGTCTCTCTCTGGTCTCTCTCTCTGGTCTCTCTCTGGTCTCTCTCTGGTCTCTCTCTGGTCTCTCTTTCTGGTCTCTTTCTGGTCTCTCTCTGGTCTCTCTCTGGTCTCTCTCTGGTCTCTCTCTGGTCTCTCTCTCTGGTCTCTCTGTGGTCTCTCTCAAGTCTCTCTCTCTGGTCTCTCTCTTCTGGTCTCTCTCTGGTCTCTCTCTCTGGTCTCTCTCTCTCGGTCTCTCTCTGGTCTCTCTCTCTCTGGTCTCTCTCTGGTCTCTCTTTCTGGTCTCTCTCTGGTCTCTCTCTAGTCTCTCTCTCTCTGATCTCTCTCTCTGGTCTCTCTCTCTGGTCTCTCTCTGGTCTCTCTTTCTGGTCTCTCTCTGGTCTCTCTCTAGTCTCTCTCTCTCTGATCTCTCTCTCTGAACCTGCATGCCTCCTCTGGGCTGGCACCGGGGTCCGGCAGCTGTCTCTCCACATGGGCCCATCCCAAACCCACCCCCACCATAGAATACACTGCCCCCCACCCACTGCTGTGCCCCCTGGTGGTCGGACAGCCTCGGTGCAGGTGGATGCAAACATGACACAGAGATAGAGCCGGTAATGGAGAGCTCATCTTCACGCTGTACTGGGAGCATTAGCACCCAGTTAGGTTATTTCCAGATCAGTCTCTCTCTCTGGTCTCTGCCGTCATCACAGAGCTGCGGTGATGGTCTGCACCACGGGATCATGTGATCTACTGTAGTGTGGCGTCTATGTGCAAAGCAATGTCTCTACATAAACAAGGCAGAGCTATAGAGACTGATGTTGTTGCTCTTATGCAGGCCTTTAATACTTGGGCAACTTTATAAAGACTAGAGAGTTGTTTTTACTGCCATTGTAGGAACAGGAAGTCACAAACACACATTATAGAGAATACTCTGCCCAATATTGAGCAAGCTATAGTTCAGGTTGAGTGGTTCCTTGTCGATGCAGGAGGGTCTAAGGACAGTGTGGACCAAAAGTTTCTATGTGTTCGTTATTAAGGCCAATCCCGTGTTTGACTTGTTTGATTCTCTGATCTGTTGTTGAGGAATTGGCAAGTTCTCTGAGACGACTGCTGTTCTGAATTTGGGCGATACATAAATACATTGGAATGAATTGAAGATCTTGCACTGAAATTCCATCCAGAAAATTCTTGTTGGTTCCACAGTTACTTCTATTAAAAATATATATTAAATATTGTTTAGTTAAGATTACTATAGGTTTATGTTGTGTCTTGCCCAGGGACACAACAACAACAAAAGCAACAACAACAGTAGGTGACACATGTCAAGGGAGGGACAGAACCCACAACCTTTAGCTCCGGAATTGAAGCTGTTGATCCAGGACTGACGCTGTAGATCCAGGACTGACGCTGTAGATCCAGGACTGAGGCTGTAGACCCAGGACTGAGGCTGTAGATCCAGGACTGAGGCTGTAGACCCAGGACTGAGGCTGTAGACCCAGGACTGACGCGGTAGACCCAGGACTGAGGCTTTACCAGTTGAAACTCATGTTGTGTTGTTTTTCTTGCAGCCATCTTGGGAATGTACACACTGATGAGCAACAAGCAGTACTACGACGCTCTGGGAACCACAGGAAAAATCGCCAACACCGAGGGCATCAACAGTACGCACTTATGGTCCTCTAATGGTCTCTTTTAAAAACCTCTGATGGTATGAGAGCTGTCCTGGTGTGTTCCCAGGCGTGGTGAAGGCAGATCCCTTCAAGATCTTCCCTGATGAACCTCCAAACTGCACCAACGTGGAGGACGCTCTGGAGCGAATCATCAGCAACGACAGCAGCCTCACAGAAGTCAACCTCAACAACATCAAGGTCTGGTCTCTTTCTGGTCTCTCTGGTCTCACTCTGGTCTCACTCTGGTCTCATTCTGGTCTCTCTCTGGTCTCTCTCTGGTCTCTTTCTGGTCTCACTCTGGTCTCTCTCTCAGGTCTCGCTTTCTTTCATCTCTCTTCGGTCTATCTCTGTGGCTCTCTGATTGGTCAGAACACTCACATGTCCCTTTCTGGTTTCTCTCTAGTGTCTGGGTCTCTGGTCTCTCTGTGGCCTCTCTCTCTGATCTTTCTCTTTCTGGTCTCTCTCAAGTCTCTCCATCAGGTCTCTCTCTCTCGTATCTCTCTGATGTCTCTCTTTTTGGTCCCTCTCTGTTCCTTCTCTAGCCTCTCTGCGGTCCCTGGTCTCTCTCTGGACTCTCTGCGGTCCCTGGTCTCTCTCTGGTCCCTCTCTGGTCTCTCTCTGGTCTCTCTCTAGCCTCTCTCTGATCCCTGGTCTCTCTCTGGTCTCTTTCTGGTCCCTCTCTGGTCCCTCTCTCTAGCCTTGCCTCTCTCTGGTCTCTGGTCCTTCTCTGCTCTCTCTGGTCTCTCTCTGGTCTCTGGTCCTTCTCTGCTCTCTCTGGTCCCTCTCTCTAGCCTTGCCTCTCTCTGGTCTCTGGTCCTTCTCTGCTCTCTCTGGTCTCTCTCTGGTCTCTGGTCCCTCTCTGCTCTGTCTGGTCTCTCTCTGGTCTCTAGTGGTCACACGTGTTGATTGCGTGTGTGTCTCGTTCAGGACATTCCCATCCCCACACTGAAGGAGATCTTTGAGGCCATGAAGGAGAACTCACACGTGGAGTCCCTGAGCATCGCCGCCACTCGCAGCAACGACCCCGTGGCCTACGTAAGTCTTCAGTCCCACACAGTCTACTCCAGGACTGAGGGTTTTCATTCCCACCAAGCAGGAGCGTAGTTTACTCCAAGTTTAGTTCAGTTTATTAAGATCCCCTCAGCCTCTGAGGTGCAGCTGGGGTCTCCTCAAAATCACTATATATTTTTACATGAAATCATAATAATATACACATACAGATTTGCATCAGAAATAACCAAATTGTGTTTATTTGTAGAAACGCTTCAGTCCAATTCCGTACCGCTCAAATCTCACTATTGATTGTTAGGAAAAGTTGCGAGGTTAATATCTTGGTGATTTATTTCCATCGTGAGAGGCAGTGGTTAGCACTCTCGCTACTCAGCAAGAAGATCCTGGGTTTGAATCCAGGTGCTCCGGTTTGCTCTTGGTGCTCCGGTTTCCTACCACTAAAAACATTAAAACTAAAAGCACCAACAGTTGGAGATGGGTTCCCGGGCGCTGCACTACGACAACCACTGTGTGCTGTGTGCTCAGACTTCCTGTACCTGTGTGCTCAGACCCCCTGTACCTGTGTCCTCAGACTTCCTGTACCTGTGTGCTCAGACCCACTGTACCTGTGTGCTCAGACCCACTGTACCTGTGTGTTGTGCTCAGGCCTGTGCTGAGATGCTGCAGGAGAACACCAGTCTCCAGAGTCTTAACATTGAGTCCAACTTCATCACCAGCGACGGCATGATGGCGGTGATCAAAGCCATGGGCAGCAACGCCACGCTGGTGGAGCTCAAGATCGACAACCAGGTCTGAACCAAGCTACACACTTTGCATTTTAATTCTGACTGTTTAATAATATAGAGTATTTGTGTGTTTGTGTGTTTGTGTGTTGCGCAGAGGCAGAGGCTGGGAGACTCGGTGGAGATGGAGATTGCCACAATGTTAGAGAATAACTCCAGTATTCTGAAGTTTGGATATCACTTTAACCAACAGGGCCCTCGCGCCAGGGCAGCCGTGGCCATCACACGCAACAACGACATGAGTAAGTATAGCAGTAGGAGTAGTTGTCATAGTAATAGTTGTGGTAATAGCAGTAGTAGCTCAGTAGTAGTCGCAGTAGTAGTACCCCAGCCGCTTCACGCTCGACTGCAGAGATTAAATTCAGAACCAGTGACAAAGGGCAGTCCTGGCGAAGGTCAACACCAGTAACAGGTCTGACTTATGCTGATGAGAACGCAGCTCTGGCTCCGGACGGCCCTCAGCAGAGGACCCTGTACTCCCGGGGGAACCCCCCAAAGGACCCCCCGGAGAACACGGTCGAACGCCTTCTTCAAATCCACACAGCACATGTGACTGAAGCAAACTCCCATGATCCTCGAGTATCTGATGGAGAGTGTAGACCTGGTCCAGTGTTCTGCAGCCGGGACCAAAACCACACTGCTCCTGGATCCAAGATTTAACCATTGGTCACAGTCTCCAGGACCTTGGAGTAAACCTTACATAATCAACTGTTTTAAACCAAACTCAAGTCGTTCCCTTACTTTGAACTCAAACACGTTAGACCATAAAACATGTTTGTTTTGCCAAAACTGTGCACATCCTAAGGCATTTGGTTTTATTTTTCTGAGACTGTTATGCACAAGTTGGTTTGACCTCTAGGACAGACCGGTCTCTGGGCTGGAATCCCAATCGCCCCAAACATTCTTCCTCATAACTAACGCCTTTCCCTTTTGTCCATGTGTCTCTCTCTCTCAGTTCGCCAACAGAGACTAAGATGAGGCAGTGTTTCCGAGTCACCAGTCTGCTGAAGTGGAGCCAAACCCTGACCTGACGACTCCATGGACCCTCTCTGTGGCCCCCGCGGAAGGACCTGAGGCTCCGAGTGCATGGTCCAGACCTCAACCCTGCCCTCTCATTTCACTCCATGTGCTGTAGACTGTCATTGTCCATAAAAACCATGTGTGGGTCAACCGTGAGCTGTCTTCTTTAGCCTGTGTGCGTGCGACTCGCCTCATCCATGTGTCACGGTGCTATTTGTGGGAAAGAAACATTCTGTAAATAATTGAATTAATAAAAACGCTATATATTCTGCTATTATTGTACACGTTTGCACGGTTTACTCTGGAGCATGTGTGTAGGTCACGCAGACATTAGTGCGTCTTTGAAGCGAGTGTTGAAGCGGGTAATTAGTACTTAACATTGTCCTAATAGTTATGGAGCTGCTGTAAGTCCGGGATTTATATTTAGCCAAAGCAGGCGCGTGTTGCTAGTTTGCGAATGTATTAAAGAAGAAGTATCTTTTGTGTGTGCGGGCTAGGGTTTGCTTTAGAGTATTAGGGTTAGTGTGAGGGTTAGCTTTAGAGTATTAGGGTTAGTGTGAGGGTTAGCTTTAGTGTATTAGGGTTAGGGTTAGCTTTAGTGTGAGGGTTAGCTTTAGTGTATTAGGGTTAGGGTTAACTTTAGTGTGAGGGTTAGCTTTAGTGTATTAGGGTTAGGGTTAGCTTTAGTGTGAGGGTTAGCTTTAGTGTATTAGGGTTAGGGTTAACTTTAGTGTGAGGGTTAGCTTTAGTGTATTAGGGTTAGGGTTAGCTTTAGTGTATTAGGGTTAGGGTTAGCTTTAGTGTATTAGGGTTAGCTTTAGTGTATTAGGGTTAGGGTTAGCTTTAGTGTGAGGGTTAGTTTTAGTGTATTAGGGTTAGTGTGAGGGTTAGCTTTAGTGTAGTAGGGTTAGGGTTAGCTTTAGTGTGAGGGTTAGCTTTAGTGTATTAGGGTTAGGGTTAGCTTTAGTGTGAGGGTTAGCTTTAGTGTATTAGGGTTAGTGTGAGGGTTAGCTTTAGTGTGAGGGTTAGGTAAGCCCGGGGGATCCAAGATGGCGCCCTATTGAAATGAATGGCTTGTGCTCAGTAGCGCATGGGACTTCACGGAGATTGAAAGATTCGCGGAACTCGCCTGTATTTGGGCATCGTCTGGTCCTCCCGGTTCTGTGCAATGGACGAGCTCCCATGATGCTTTGCGCCAAATATTTGTGTGTGGCTCTCATGCACGTGAGCAGAGGGGCTCGGCCGCATTCTGACCAATCAGAGCTGATGATCAGAGCAGTGGTAGAGCGGAGCCAGAGCGGGAAGAAAAGGAGCAGAGTTTGTGGCTGTAAAGTGTGGATTTAAAGAAAACCGAAGAAAAAAAGTTTACAAGGGACACAAAAATCCCCACAAAATCCGATCCATGGGAATTTTTCTGGGTAGCCCGCATGAATTTAGCCTGCAGTACCATCGGCGCCCCCTGTGCCCATAGAGGGGACAGCTACAAGCTAGTAACACCGTATCCAGTTATCATAGATCCATGGGGTTAGGGTTAGCTTTGGTGTTTTAGGGTTAGCTTTGGTGTTTTAGGGTTAGTGTCGGGGTTGGGGCATGGATCTGGAGCCACATGCAGCTTTGAGGTGAATATTTTATTTCTAGTTTATTGTGGTTTCTGTAGAAGGACAAACATTCTTAAAGTTTTTCAAAGCAGTAAAAATGTACATAAGAAATATTGAATTTCAACATTCTTGTCTTGGCCCCACACCAGGCGGCCGCGGTTGTCCACGAATCCCAAAGGTAAAAAGAGAAAGAGACTGAAACTTTTGCTTTCATTGTGAAATATGTAAAAACAATGAACTATGAAAAGCAGAAATACATAATTTGTATTAATACTAATTTGGCAACTGATGAAAGTGGGTGATAATGACGCTGTAAGAACTCTCTGCACAATCTTAATCCTCCAAAGTCTGACTTGATCCGAAGACTTCCCCGAGGACCGGACTATATTTACCCCCATCAGTGAAACCCCAGCCTGGGCACTGTGGGGGGGTAGGGTTACAGAGGGCCAAACATAGGACCAGTTTTGAGGGGGAGGCAGGGGGAGAGAGGGGAGAGAGCAGGGCAGGTCCTCGTCGACTGGAGCAGATTTACGAACAGAAACAGCTGCTAACCTCTGAGGATTCTCACAGCATTACTGAGCTTCCTCCGCAACACGCCACCAACTCTGAAGAGCAACCAATCACCCCAAAATGTGCTTTATTCAGAAATGTTTCATTGTCTTCTGTGGCTGCGTTCTTCTGCAATGTGTTTTACGATAAGATAATAGTAGATAGTATAGGC